TACAATAGGAACTGTGATTGGCTGGCAGAAATTGTCCTGATTATAGCCAATCAAGTAGGACTGACTCAAGCAATGTTAAAAAATTGATTTCATTCTGCCTCCTTGCATGATGATACCTCGTCGGCTTTTTCCGGGGCTCACTGTACCTCCGTGACATTTGGCGTGGTGATTACGGTAAGCTAGTGAAGGGTTAGCTGACCTTGTCAAAGCAGCACATTGCGTGTGAGGGTGAAGGATTAGCATGGGATCCCTCCCAATAAGGATCGTGCGACACATAGAAACAATGTGATGCTCATACATTCATCCATACGTTTCTATTCTAGAAGTTAATGGCAAATGCCAGTTCGATATCACAATATGCCATCTCGAACTGTTTCATCCACGCTTGCTATGTAGAACGAGGAATGCCCTCGATCGCACAAATCGCAATCGCGCTGATTATGCATTTTCGTACGCATGGAGGAGTTGAACCCTTGCTTTTTCAACTGTGTATTGGAGTTGAGCGCGCTGCGGAAGAACGGAACTAGGCATTGAGATTGAGAGTACCTCAAATCAACCAATTAGAGACCTCCAATTTCATATACATTAATTGTCCAATCATGGACTGGCATTTAGTCTGAACCAATCAGAGATCACGAAAGTCGCTGAAGCACATTTAGCCAATCATGGACTAAGAAGCAATTTTGCTTCTGATCTTGTGTGTGAAATTTACAAATACCACTGCAAATTTAATGTATTGTCATCGGAAAACGTAGGCCAACTACCTCACAACATATGGTTGGGAGAAATAACGATACGTACTTCAATTCAACCTCAAAAGCGGCTAAGATATTTGATTACTTTGACGCTTCAAATATGCTCTAGTCGTTTTCGCGCCAATCTTTTCACGCATGATTCATGCAATTGTCACAACCATCAGCTGTCCAAAACGCCTTTCTCGATGGTGTGGGGTGTTCTCAATGACGGGGTCAAGGGCATGCACAGCACATTCAAACGCTTCGACAACGGCCTCCACTGAGCTGCCAACGAGCTTGTTCGTCGATTTGATCTTGACGTAATGCCCCCAAAACAAATGCATCACGAAACGCCACTCCGACAAAATCCGTCTTCGCTTCTTCGTTGCGAGGTCGATCGGAACAATCGTACGGTATGGGATCTCACTGTCCTTGCCAAGCCACCATAGAGACCAAGCAGTTGCCGTGTCGACGCTTGGA